CACTACTCTGGAAAGAAGATTGAAAAGCTCATCGGGATGCTGCTTTTGCCAGTCGGCAAGTTGGTTGACAGCGGTGTCACGAATCAGACGGGTGCTGCCCGTTTCGAGAATCCTACCCGAAGCAGTTAGTAAGCGAGTGGCGACACGATGATACACAGTCTTGTGTCGGACTGAATATCAAGCTCGCTCAACACGGGCATCATAAAAGTTGCATCGAAAGCTAAGCCGAAGCCAGGAGAGGCAGACAACAGGGGCTCTGATGTGCTGCTATGATGAGGAGTGCCATGTGGTTAGACTCACGTGACCAATCTGTCAAGTCTATTGAAGCAAGGTTAGTGCTAGTTCAGAGTTGATCGGATCTGCCTGATCGCAAGGGTTGCCAGGAATGAACCATACCTCGACGCCATTTTGAATTAAGATGTATTTGATGAGAATTTCATCATCAGACTGAACTTCTGTGAGAGATGTTAACTATGGGTTCAAAAAGGGACGATGTAAGTCCAGGAGCTGCTGGGTGAAGGAAAGATGACAAGATACATGGTTGGAGATAGATACATGGATGCCACCTTCCCGTGCCCAAACAGAGATGATGCAGTCTGGGGTAGAGACTGAATCATGGCGGCTGGTGGAGTAACACGTTGGATGAGGTGATCTCGATAGTGAAGGGAAGTGCAGGTAGATGCGATACAGGACGTGCCGAACCGAAACACCCAATGGCATGTTGGAATTGGGAGAAATGGTGCAAGGTTTGGGGTGGATATGAGCATAACGGGGAAATGAAGGAAACGCGGACTGGGCGAAGCCAATACGTACCGAAATTGAGAAAGCGGGTAACGGCGATGGGGCCGGATGCAAATCGCGATCCTGTCCACTGCGGATCAAGCCGAGTCTTAATCAAAGGATGCGACTACCATGCATGCATCAAAAGGAGGACGATGCAGGTAGAATCGCCGCGTTGATTCGGAGCTTGCTGCAGGTTGTGGGAATAAAAGACGGAATGCGAGAAAGCAACGTGAACACGTAAAATCTCGATGCAAGGTGTGATGTGTAGGCGCGTCGTGGATAGTTGGGGTGTGGTACCGAGTGGTCGCAAAAGCTGCTGTTGCAAGAAATAAGCGTCAAGTCGTGAGAGGAAAGAAAAAGGCGCCTATTAAAAGGTGAGGTGAGGCTCGAAACAATGGGAGGGATGACGCCTTAAAGTGGGAAGGAAGAGGCGCGCATATGTACATATGGGCAACACCACCTCAATAATAAGGTAAGATTTGGATTGAGGGAAAGGCAAACGCAGTGCCAGCCAGGTGCGAGGCGGGAATGCAGTGCAGTAAGGTGCGTGGAAGGCGCGCGTGGTTGTGGATGTGGATGGGGATGGTGCCTGCCTGAGGTACCAGATCCAGATCCAACCTAATGGGACGGGCGGGAAGGTACGGAGGGGATACACTTACTGCTGCTGGGAGGAGCTGCGGCGAGGCTTTTGGGTGAGGCTTTTGGTGGTTTGGGTGCCTTGGGGTGCTGCTGATGCCTGTGGTGCTGACCAGCCTGTGAGGAATGAACCAATGAGATGCGAGGGTTAATGGGGTCGCGTCAAAAGGGCAGCACCTCGACGTCGCTCTGGAAGGGAAATTTTGGGGTGGAGGGGCCCGGACAGTCTTAAAGGTATGCCTGCAGTACTTTTATAATTACCCGTGGGCCCGTGAGAGAAAAAAAAATGGAAGGAAAGCCAGCCGTTCCTTCACGCAGCGACGGCGTCTCGCTTAATCTCCTTAGCGTCATCTAGTCACCTAGTGTCCCTGGTCCACCGCGCCCACCTCCACTCCCCAGCAAACAATAAACCCTGTCTGCCACTCTGCATCCTGTCGTTGTCGTCGTCTTCTCCGGCCGCCTTTTTCCATCTCATCGTCCCTTTTCGTCCACTTCTCCCTTTCGATATCCCGTCTCTGTTATCACCCTGGCCAGTAGTGCTAGCCTCGCGAATCATCATCATCTCACTTCGCGACCATGTCCATTCCATCATGACCCCCCGATAATTTCACCAGACTGAAATGATAGCCGTGTCATCGATGCACTGCGGCTTTAGCAATCCAATATATGTACTTCAACGCCACGAGCCCAGCGACGCCATTTCTCTCAGGCGCATCTCTGAATGGGGAAGATGGGGGAACAAAAAAACTTTACTCGACCTCGTCATTGAAGACTCACCCACCCTGAAGAGTGCAACCGCAAGGAGACAGGAACAGTCTCGCTGACCACACCACACCATACACATACATACATCTGGCGTCGCGAACCCTCGGAACTCTTCCAACTTTTGAGTTTCTCTCCGTCTCTGACAGACTGGCATTCATCCCCACGCGCAAAGTTCCGCTCGGCACTTTTCAGAACGGCGTCTCATCGTCTGCAATGGCATCATCAAATTACAGTGAAAGCCAGTGAACACCTATGCGCACAGGCTTCAGGGTTCGCAAGCGCCATTCAATTTCTTCTCCCTTGCGTGAGATTGTGATGTCTTGTTTCTTTCCAAGACTTGCAAGAATTGACGGCAAATCTTTAGCGGTTTCTCTTGGATACCTGCCACCACCGTTGCCCCTTGCCACCAACTGACTGGGCGTGGCTTTTTCCCAAACCGAAACACCAAATTGCCATGTTGCCGTGGTACGGGCTGCTCTTCAGCAACACGCCAAACTCTGGTCATCCATCGCATCTGATTAAACCCACTAGACAGATCGGTTTAAGGCTTCCAAGCTGGCCCTGCAATGAGCAGGCCGGGCTGCCCCTTGGAGCTTAGGCCGGACCTGCGCTACACACAGACAGGACGACCTCTTGTTCCTCTCGCCCTATCAGCAGCACTGGGCATCAAGCAACCTTTCACGACCTTGCGCCGCCAGGAAATCCGATGACTAGGCTTGTTGCGGCAACGAATCACTGGATGACTGTCTGCTCAGTTCTTTGGATGGATCGATGACATGAGGGAAGAAATCGTCCATAGATAGATGGCGATGGGGGCAGGCGTATTGCGAATGCAGCAGACCAACAAAAGCGCGAGGATCATCACAGGCATGCTTGGTGCAGCTGCGGCCAGTTTAGGCCGATGCCTCGAATGGGAAACAAGCTGCTTCGGCTGCCACAAGACGTGGGGTAAGCTTGGGAATCTCAGCGTCGCCCTCCCAGGGTCCCGAGATTCTGGCGTTCCAACGGCACGCTGCTCTGATTCGTCTCCGCCACCAGTCCGTCCTTTTGATCTTTGAAGGGCTGGCTGAGCTGACTGTGATCGCAACCACTTACACAGCACATGCCCTGCTATCGAAAACAAAGCGTTACGGACATTTGGATTGCGATGGCCTCATGTCATCTCAGTAGTGCTCCGCTCGTCCCGTCCGTCCCCGGCCGTTCCAGGGCGAGCTGCTGGAGTGACTGTCTTACCCGCCTCGGTCTTTTCGACTACCCTGGCTCTTGGCTTCGCTGCCATTTCCAGGTTTTTTATACCCCTGACGACTGCCTGAGCAAGCCAAAACGCAGCCATCAATGGATGCGACTCTAATCATCGTCTTCCTGGCTTTCCATCTGCTGGCTTGCAAACCCATTCTCTCTTCTCTTCTTCCTCTGAATTTCGTACAGCACTAGCGAATCGCCTTGGTTCCTGCTCTCCCGCCGACACCTTAATATCCAGCAACGTGGCTGTCCGGTCAAAAGCTGGAGGGAGTACGTGTACTCTGTGTCGTCCGTATGGTCAGTGCGCATAGCTTCCCGGTGAGTTGACTGGGGTGCATATTGGACGGACCCAGCTCTATCCATGTTGAAGCTCAAACTACTTGCTGATCGCCCGGTGTCATGAATGCTGCTCAAGCCTCATGCAGACCAATAATCGAGTCTCCCGGTCGCTGCACACTAGGAAAACTTTTGCCCCGGCCTCCTTTAGACACAGAGTCACAGACAGCTTTGCATACGCTCAGGCACACAGATGCAGGCCCTGCGAATAGTTGAAGGTCTGCGCGGAAGAGTCGGAACGGTCGAGGGATGTGAAAGAAGAAAGGCCCAAGGAAAAAACGGGCTGACGTCTGATGCCTCCACATTTGACGCTTGACAGGTGCTGTCTCGAAGGGAATGTGCCTGTCCAGGCTAGTGTGCCCGTCTATGACGAACTTCTGGTATTGTCGGAGATTCGCATATAGTTCTTCTGCGATCACGGATACAGATGCTTTGCTGCGGAAGAAGTCTCCGAGCGCAAATGGCGAGACCGAGTCGGACTGCTAGTTTTCAAAGTATATCAAGCAATGGATGGATCTTGCAGAGATCCAACCACATAGCGGCGAGTTTCACTGTACCTGAGTAGATAGTGTTTGGACAGGCTGAACGGCCGCTGCTGTATCGGAAGCTCAGCCAATTCCTTCAATAAGCTTATAAAAACAACAGACGGATGACATTCCTTGAGTCATGGGCATCGGAAGAGTGAAGCTTTCTTTGGCTGTTCATCCCGCGAAGATAACCACCAAAGATGAAAAATTTCGCTGTAGACTGGAAGAGAGCCCACAGCCAACGTTTTACGCCCAGGTCAGGTGCTTCTGGGATGATTGAAGAGTGTGTCGGCAAGATTAATCCATACTCGGCATGCCAAAGAGTTTCATCTTTGTGCAAAATATTGACTGTGCAGTTCAGGATGAGGGTGGTGAATGGTTTAAGTGGAAGTCGCGTACAGTGTAAAGGTCGTGTAACAGCTGTCGCACACTGTACCTCAGACTGTGCGATCCTGCCTTCTCGACCCTTTCGTCCTCAGGCATGCACCGCCTACCAAATGAGCGACGGCACCCCAAGTTTGACGCGCCTTGACCTGCCACGCTTGAGGGCCTCGCGATTCCTGGACGCGTCGTCTATCCCCACCACCAACAATCGACGGTTACGACTTCTCAATATACCGATGAAAATACTCCGCGACTCGCAGCGAACTCCATCAGCGACTTCACCCGCGTAAAATAGCCGCCCTTGAGGCCGCGACTCTCACCGTCACTATGTACATTAAACAGTGCATCATCCAAGGCTTCAAGAGGTGTGCCCCCTTGCGACAAGATAGTAGAGAGTGACACCCCGCTGACTTGTGACAGCTACAAGGAACAGACCGTCATCGAACCCTTCTCCCCCGGTACGAATGTCATTGTCGGTCGCAATGGATCCGGCAAGAGTAACTTCTTCGCGGCGATGCGCTTCGTCCTGAGTGACGCCTACACTCAGATGACCCGCGAAGAGCGCCAGGCTCTATTGCATGAAGGATCAGGATCGGCTGTCATGTCCGCCTATGTCGAGATCATCTTCGACAACAGCGACGAGCGCTTCCCTACAGGAGGAAAGGAGGTCATTCTGCGTCGCACCATCGGAACGAAAAAGGACGAATACTCGGTCGATCGCAAAGTCGTCACCAAGAACGATGTTGTCAATCTGCTCGAGGCTGCCGGCTTCTCCAGGTCAAATCCCTACTACATTGTGCCTCAGGGTCGCGTTACGGCCCTGACCAACATGAAGGAATCGGACCGACTCACCCTTCTGAAGGAGGTTGCCGGTACTCAGGTCTACGAAGCGCGCCGAACCGAGTCGCTTAAGATCATGAACGAGACAAACAACAAGAGAGAAAAGATTGACGAACTTCTCGGTTACATCAAGGAGCGTCTCGCTGAATTGGAAGAGGAAAAGGAGGAGCTCCGTGGTTTCCAGGACAAGGATCGCGAACGCAGATGCCTCGAGTACGCCTTGTATTATCAAGAGCAGCAGCAAATCCAGGAACAGCTTGAGCGCATCGAAAACATTCGACAGAACGGCTTGGACAACACCGACTCGATACGAACTGAGCTCAAGGATGCCGAAAAGACCTTGACCAAGTTGGAGTCTGAGATCCACAAGCTGACCAAGGAGATGGATCTGCTCAAGGTCGAGCGCCGGCAGCTCGAAGAGGACCGCCGCGAAACAGCAAAGTCGAAAGCGAAGGCCGAGCTCAAGGTCAAGACCTTGTCAGATGGTCAGTCTGCGGCTGTGCAAGCCCAGCAACAACATGAGGCCGATCTCGCGGCGACCATTGAAGAGCTCCAGACGAAGAAGCAGGAGCTGAACAATGTCGTCCCAGAGTATACCAGACGGAGGAGCCAAGAGGTCGAGAAGAAGCAGCAGCTGGACACGGCCGAAGCCACACGCAACCGTCTATTCACCAAGCAAAGTCGTGGCTCCCAGTTTAAGAACAAGGCTGAGCGCGACAAGTACTTGAGGGCAGAAATCGAGGATTTGCATTCGAGACTCATGAGTCACAAGGCCAACAAGATGGACGCTGATGAGGATGTCACTGGAACCGAGAACTCCATCAAGCAGCTCGAGATTGATGTCGCCAGCTTGAGAGAAAAGTTGCAAAGCTCAAGCGGAATTCGGAACGAGCTTTTCGAGGAAGCCAGCAGGGCAAGGGAAACGTTGGACAAACTCGACGACGAGAAGAAGTTGCTCTGCCGTGAGGAAGAAAAGCTCGACACCATCTTGCGAGATGCTCGCCAGGAGAGAGACAGGGCCGAGCGTGAGCTTAGCTCCATGATGGATGGCGACACTGCCCGTGGTCTTGCCACGATTAGGCGCCTGAAGCATGAGCAAGACATTCCCGGCGCCTACGGCACTATGGCGGAGCTCCTCGAGGTCAGCGACACTTACCGCCTTCCTGTCGAGCAAATCGCTGGTAACAGCATGTTCCACTACATCGTCGACAACGATCAAACGGCCACATTCCTCACTAACCACCTCCGGTCTAACTACGGAGGTAGGTTGACCTTCATGCCTCTGAACCGCCTCCATCCGAGAAACATCAACATGCCGAGATCTCAGGATGGAATCGTGCCGCTTCTGAGCAAGATTCGCTACGATCCTATGTACGAGAAGGCCTTCCAGCAAGTTTTCGGCAAAGTCGTCGTGTGCCCCAACCTGAGCATAGGAGGCCAGTACGCAAGGAGTCACGGTGTTGATGCCATTACACTGGATGGTGATACCACAAACAAGAGGGGTGCGATGACTGGTGGTTACATTGACCCCAGGCGATCTAGACTTGAAGGCGTTCAGGCTGTCAACAAGTGGAGAGACGAGTATGAGCGGCTCCTGCAGCAGTCTGATCGGATTAGAAACCAGATCGAACAGAAGGAGCAAGAGATCACTCGTGCCATGGGTGAAGTTCAGAAGGCTGAGCAGAAGCTTCGTCAGTTGGAAAGCGGCTTCGAACCTCTGAGGCACGAACTCGCCAACAAGAACGGGCAGCTCGAGCACGAGAAGCGACGTCTCAACGATGCCATGAGGCATCGCGATGCCGTTGAGCGAGACATGAAGATCTTCACTGAGAGTCTTGCCGCAAACGAGTCCGAACTCGCGTCAGACTTCAAAAAGTCGCTCAGTAATGCTGAGGAGAGGCAGCTTGTCGAGCTAGACGCGCAAGTGCAACGCCTTCAAAAGGAGTGGAACGATACCAGCAAGAAGCGGAGAGAAGCGGAAAGCCGGAAACAGATCCTCGAGACAGACATCAATCAGAATCTTCAGCTGCGTCTGGATCAGCTCAACAGTCAGGCCTTCGAGAACAACACTTCCTCCGGCGAATCTGGCAGCCTTAAGGAGGCGCAAAGGGAACTCAAGAAGCTTCAACGAGAGACCGCCGCCATCGAAGCCAAGATGCAGGAGATTGAGGAGAAACTCGAGGAGCAGGGTGGCAAGCTCGACCGTCGCGAAGCCAAGAAGGCAGAGCAGGAAGAGATCCGCAGCACCGTTGCCGCAAGAGAAGCCAAGCAGCGCAGCTCGATCGAGAAAAGCATGTCCAAGAAGGCCGTTTACACGGCGCAGGCTGCGGATGCCGCTAAGGCGATCAGAGACTTGGGAGTTTTGCCCGAGGAGGCCTTTGACAAGTACGAGAGGATGGATCCCAGGCAAATCGACTCACGGTTGAAGAAGGTCCGCAATGCCCTCAAGAAGTTCCAGCACGTCAACAAGAAGGCGTTTGAGCAGTACAACAGCTTCACCCAGCAACAGGACCAGCTCCTGAAGCGAAGAAAAGAACTGGATGCTTCGCAGGAGTCTATCGAGGAGCTCGTTGCCCATCTCGATCAGCGCAAGGACGAGGCCATTGAGCGTACCTTCAAACAAGTGTCCAAGGAGTTCGCCACCATCTTTGAGAAGCTTGTCCCGGCTGGACATGGTCGTCTAGTCATCCAGCGCCGAACCGATCGCCGCGTCGACCCTGAGGAGTCTGATGAGGAGCAGAACCGTAGCGTTGAGAACTACACCGGTGTCGGTATCAGTGTGTCCTTCAACTCAAAGACTTTGGACGAGCAGCAGAGGATCCAGCAACTCAGTGGTGGTCAAAAGAGTAAGTCAGGCCCTATTCCTAATGTGATCGTACCAGTCTTGCTAACAACTTGCCCAGGTTTGTGTGCATTGTGTCTCATCTTTGCCCTTCAGCAGACGGAGAGCAGTCCCATGGTCATCTTTGACGAGGTCGACGCCAACCTCGACGCCCAGTACCGTACCGCCGTCGCCAGCCTCTTGGAGTCCATCTCCCAAGAGGCCGGAACGCAGTTCATCTGCACCACCTTCCGACCCGAGATTGTTCACGTCGCCGACAAGTGCTACGGTGTGACTTTCCACAGCAAGACGAGTTCCATTGACTGTGTACCTACCGAAGAGGCGCTGAGCTTCGTCGAGGGTGTCGCGGCAGGAAAGTAAATGTGAAGAGAGGTTGATTGGTGTGTGTTCTGTGGGAACCATGTTCATGATTTTCATTATGGGGGTGGCTTGAGGATCGGGGCTCCCCTCGTCATCGTCCATCGACGAGAGGGGGGAAGTCTCTTGGCAATGGCGTTGCGGCGACTTGTGGCGGTTGATTGTTTGATATCACGGGGGGGCTTTGCCTTGTCTGTAAGTAAGTTCTGGTGGAAATGAGCTTAGGGGTTTTTACTTTTGGCACCATTCATAGCTTCTATTACGAAAACCATCAATCACAATTGTTCATTCTCGTCATGGAGAGAGGGAGAAACTTGCCTCTTGCATTGTTAAGTGTGGCATTGCCCTTTTGGTAATGTGTAATCCACCTCTTGCCACGACGACGACGACGACGAAGATGGCCTCCTTCATCTTCATGAAAGATCAACATCATCACCATGAAAGTCTTGGCCATTTCGCGTCCCTCACTACGCGGCCCGGTGAACAACTCATCCCCTCCCCATATCTTTATCGCTAACGAATAAGCAGAGCAGATTCACCATATCCATACACTGGTTGGTACGTTGTCAACAAGCACGTCTGCGCCTCCGTCCCTCGCATGCGGCTTGGTGGTAGATCTCCCGGAACCTTGCTTTACGTTACGACTCTGCATTCTCTGCTCAAAGGCCGCAGGGCTGTTGGATAACGCCTCATTGGTCAACCGTTCCCACGTCACCATCTGTGGCTGGAGCAACTTTCGGGAAGAAAAGGAAGATTCTATCGAAGGAGAGGGGCGGGGGAGGGGGAAGGAGGGGCAAGGCATCGGAGACGATTGGTTTCTTTCCCCCCTCGCCCTTTTGCCAAGAAAAGCAGGCCACCGCCCTTTTCTCTAGACTACGGCCTGCTCCGGGGGATCTACAGGTCCTGCATATGAACCATACCTTGAGGCTTTTAGCCGAGGGCGAAGTTGATTGGTGACTTGCTACTGGTTCAGTAGTAGTCTTGGCTCTCGTGAGTTCCTACTCAGCCTTGCCAGGACAGGACGATTCTATCCGTACGGACCGTACCCGCCGGCCGTCGTGCCGCCATTACCAAACTTGGAGGAGTGCTATTCTTGTACAGAGAATGCCTGTGGGATGGTATCTGATCTGCGTGTGTGAAGAGAAGGTGTATCATTCAATGGATGATCTTCGACTGGGATATTTTCTGCAGAGTTGTATGGGACATGTTATCCGTGTTCAGCGTTCACCTCATGTTGCGACCCGCCCTTCTCTTCGGCACTTGCAAGTTTTGGAACTTGGTTCTCCCCCATCGTCGTTTCTATAAAAAAAACGCACCCAGTTACGCGGGGGGTTGGGGTTTGGGTGGGAGGATGGGACTTTGGGGGGCTGGTTTGACATTTGGCGTGGCGGGGAGTTTTGATAGGTGCCCGACGGTGACATTTCCTGGGGGAGACCGGCAACGGCGAGGCAGACAAAACAAAGCCACCCGGAGGAAAGATCCGAGCCCATCACGAAGGAAACCAAAAATCCGGGGATCATCAATCTTCCCCAATCAAGACAGAAGGGGAACTCAGAGCTGGGTTGAGAATAGAACAGATATCTAGCCGTACGGGTAAGGTAGGGGGAGACGGGAATTTGACCATTGTTTTACAAGCCAAGAAATGGCATGTTGCTTGAAACTTCTTGGCTGTCGAGTGTAACTACCACGATAGGAAGACGACAAACACGGGGAAAAGGTGGCCAGCAATGCTTCAAGAGACTTCTTGGCGAGGGGTCTTTGTCTTTAGTGATCTTGACAAGAAATCTGGTACCCGGCTTGGGATTGGACAACCAAGACTTCATCAATGCCCGAGAGAGGTGACAGGAAGAGAGGACGACATGCGGGAAAAGAAACGCCAATGCCGATCTGGCCCCCAGCCTCAACGGAGCCAAGACCGATATTCGTGAGCATCGAAAAAAGCTTCAATGCCGGCAAATCGTCTTGGGACTTTCTTGGGTGGTCTGGGGTGGGAAAAAAGGCTTGAGGACCTCTTGGAAACTCTTGGGTGCTCTTGGCGGGTTTGTAAAGGTCCGCTAGGTGTTTTGGATGGGGAGGAACCTGTTGGTCGAGAGCAACTTTTTGCGTGTTTTTTTAGAAAAAAGATGCGATGAGACGAAAAATTGGGAAAGAGAGTTCAGACGTCTCTCTCCCCCCTTCCCGCCCGACGGGATTGATGGGCGATCACTCTTCCCTTCTACGGAGGGATACTCCGTACGGGACAGGCAAACCCCAAGCGGTCGGGCGTGCCAAGCATGCAAAAGTGAGTGCAGGCATGAATTCTACAAGCGCCACAGGCCACAGGCTTACAGATTCTTCTCTCTCGAGGAACGTGTGTCGTCTCTATGTCGTTTGAGGTGGTTGCAGAAAGACCGTTAGGAGGTCCCCCCTTTCCCCCTTCCGTACGAGCATCACATTTCTGTAGTGCAGTTTGTCTGCGTGTGTCTTACCTTAGTCAATCACGTTGTTGATCTGGTGCCGCAGCGGTAGGTATTACTATGTATAACTTCTGTGCTCATCCAACCACGAACCAAAACTGGTAAAACGGACCCTGCAGGGCTTTTGTGTACGGCTGTATGGCCAAAGAGACACGAGCCATGTTTCCAAAACGGCGAAAGTTGATACGTGCCGCAAGTCATTACGGCACTTGGATGACCAAATCTGTGACTTGGCAAAGTCTTGCGCTGAATCAGTTGCAGTCCTGCCAAGACAATCTCGAGGGACGTCCTGACGAGTGACAACCAAAGGAAACAGGAAATCGAGGCTGGCCTGCAGGAGCATGGGGATCACATCGAACATCGCATAACCCCAAAAAAATCACCGAGTTACACCGATTGAACCATCAACCACCCCCATGGGGACGGCCAATTGACCGGTGGCTTTCTTGGTTCACAACCTGGAAAGCGACTCCATTCTTGGGGCCTGCCCTTGGGGTATCCTCTTTGCTGTTTGGAGAAAATACAGGGCATGGTTTTCTCTTTGGTAACAGGCGTGACAGGTAAGTGGTCGGCCATTGGGGGCCGTGTTCAGAATGGGATACGGCCGATCACTACCGGCCTCGCCCACTACCAAGCTCATGGGAACCCACCAAAGGGTTGGCCTTGGTTGGTCGAATTCAAGGAACTTTGAGAGAACCAAGAACCTGCTGGAAGCCTGGCGTGCCTGGAAACCCGGCTCGGAGATGGCCTTGTCGTTGTCGGTGCTCCAAACAAATGGGACCGGAGTTGAGAAATACTGGGGAAGGACGATGGGGAAGCAGAGAGATGGAGGAGAAACTGGAGCCTCGCGAACGGTAGCGTGCCCTCGTGAGTCGTGAAAGCCTCGTCCATGGTGCGCGCCCGCGCGGAGATGTGCGTGTGGGCAAATCACAATCTCTCCGAAATAATGAGGCGGTCAAGATCCGCGGGCTCTTCTTGTTTGACAGCGGGTATTTCTGCGCTGCGGCATGGCCAGCCCGGTGCTCAATTCGCGCCGACCGCCGTCCGGGTATAGCACGAACGTCGTCATTCGCGCAAACCACATCGAATCGACCACGCCGGTGCGGTCCCGAGGTACGGAGATGGGGACGATGGGGCAGGCGGGTTTGCCCTTATTTTCTTTGTATTAATCTTTTTTGTTCATAAAAGACAAGGAGATATATCCCGATTCAAGGCTTGTCATTGGCCAGGACAACCCGGGAAAGCCTGGAATGCCAGGAATGGATACCGAGGACACGAAGAGAGTGAGAGTGAGATATCCATCGGCGCGATTAGCCCCATATCCACAAGGAGCCACTAGCCTCTAGTGTTAATACGCAGTAAGGAACCGAGGAGGATTCGAGGAATGAGATGGAGTTCCCATTGTTGCACTAAAACGATTCGGCCCATGACCAATTTTAGGGAAGGGGGCCTCTTCCTCGGACGGGTGCCACTCGACGACGACGAGGACGACGACGACTACGACAACGACGGGACGTCACAGAGGGACCCCTGGATTGTCCTCCATCACACTCCGACTTGAACTGGGTAATTGATGGGAACCTGTTTGACGACGCGCCGTTTCTGGGAATCCCCACGTCACGAATCAGCGGAGCGCGAAGAGACTCATGGCAAAACGAACCGAAGAGCATAAAATCAAAATAAAACTGGATCATCGTTTTGAGCAGAAAACAGGGTCTCTAGTGGCTGGGAGTGGAGTCGAAGGCTGATTCAAGCTGAGGACGACGACGAGGATCGGAGGACGAGGATAGCAAGCGCCTCCGCCGCCGTAGGACCGTAGGACGGCTGACGGCTAGACTGATGGAGCTCTGGGGGTTGTTTTTGTTCGAGGTCGTTCGCCTGGTTTCAGTCAAAGTGAAGATTGGTAGCTGGCCATTGCCGTTGACTTTTCTCTTCCTCTGATGACAAGATGGGATAATGCAACGCGACGGAACTCTCGCGGTTGCATCTGCCCTGTCCTCGACAGATACCACGTTGGAAATAGAAGCTTGAGCAGTTCGGTACATGGTATGGTCTAGTATGGTTCGGCTCGAAACCTGACATCCCATCTGTTGGCGTTGTCGTTGGTACTGGTGCGGCTGCTTGTTGCTGCATTATCTTGACAGGAAGATTTTATCTGGGAGAGATGAGTCTGCCACGCCGTCGGCCCTTTTCCGACTCCCAGACCGCCACATTCGCTGTGCTATGCACGCCTCACTGGTGAATCAAGGCCTTCTACTGTGTAAAGAGCCTTCAGTATGAGCCAAATAACTCACTGTGGTATCGTCCTAACACACCTAGGGGACTCCACAAGTCTACGGCGTATTCCCGGGTGCAGAGACGGCTCCGTTCTGTTTTGAACGAGGGGCCCGCGTTTCCAACGTGGAGGGTTACATTCACCTACCGCCGCAGTGTATCCGTAGTACCGTACCCGTCGTGCACCAACCCGACACGACCACACACGTCGATGAGGCGAACTGTGCGTTTTGCGGACGCTAGGAGACTTGTTGAACCCTTGACTGGTCGTGA